TTCACTTTCTTTCTCTCAATATATATATTCCACCTTTCAACTCTGTTGTTCCTAAAATTCATTCTTGCATTTTAGAGAACACAAACTCATACCAGACAGAGAAGTTCAGGAATTTCATTCCACTATATCATGGTATGGTTGCCTCTATTTCTAACTAACTCAGCTGCCTGTAAATTTAAGAATTGTTTATCAATTTGATTTGGAGTAACTGTAGCAAATAAAATGTTCTTAATGGATATAGGGAAATATATCATTAAATTGAAAAAATGATTATCACAGTTTTTCCACCTAGCACCAGCCAACATTTTCCACTTTCAAGTATGTGGGAAAACAAAAAATAAAGACAACTCAGAAAATAGCAATCCTATAAGGGACAGTATATCATTCACTGTAATTGCCATGTTATCTGCAGGTATTTCATAGACCACAAAAGAAACATTGAGCCTATTAAATACCGAGTATCCATTTCAATAAATGTGCTCACAGCACTGCATCGTTGACAACTGTGATTTTTTTTTTTCTGTATGAGGGATTGAACTCATGACCTTGTGCTCTCCAGGCAGCTCCTTGTTTACCTCCACTCAATCCCCAGACCCAACAACTTTAGATAGTAAATATGACTATTAACAATGTTTAATTTGCCATTGACATATTTAGTTATAAATTTTGTAAACTTACATTTTCACAAATGAAATTATTTTCTTTCCTTGCGGTTTAAATTACTTTTTTTTTTTAGGTACCAGGGATCAAACTACAGCCTAACTCTTTCCAGGCAGGCGTTTCTCCCTCCTGAGCTAAATCCCTGGCCTGTATTAATGAATATTTCAGTTTATTCATTCAAATAGAAATGTGATTTTAGCAAAGGATGTCACGGTAGACAGAAATTGATATACAATCAGAGAGGAACTGGAACCTCAAATAGTCAATGCAAAATACTAAATACAACAATCACTGCTACAGGCACAGCTGAAGAAAGCCCGACCTGAATGTGAAGATGCAGTGACTAGGTCTACATGCTCCTGAAGAGAAAAACAACAGCTTGAAATGTACTACAGTTACCACCACCCCCTCCACGACGTCCTGATAGGCATCAATTACCATACTCAATGACCAGAACAACTGGACTACTGTTCCCACAAAGTGCCTTGGCTCTTTCCACATACCTTTTCTGGCTGACTTGTTCCTTGTTGAATAACATTAGTTAAGCAGCTATAAGCTTATAGGTTGATTGTAGTCTGAGATGCACACTGTACCCACATTGTGACTTTCCTGTATAAATGACCCCTGACAATAGGTCTATGGCCAAAACACCAAAGACCACTCCTGATAATTCAGGGCTATTCTTCTCTCTTTTTTTCTAAAAAATTTTTTGAAATTTTTTTGGTTTATGACTTCATTTCTCAGTGTTGTGAGTCATTAAACTTGATGCATTTGATATCAAACAGGACAGGATTATATTTTTCTTATCTCAATTTAAATATGAAATGTCTGCTAAAGGCATTGTTCCAAAGCCAGAATTTCAAGCTGCTTGTTTGCCCTGAGTTTAAAATTTCAATGAGCTTTTAGAAGTCCTCAGTCTAATGAACTGCAAATGTATTGGAGGAAGGAGGTCACTGTTGTCCTGTAGCACAATAGGTGCCATTCCTAAGTATGTGTTTGTCACTGCCTCCTGGATGTCACTACATGGCCTTCTTTCCACTGCAGCATCATTCAATAATTCCCATTTTACATAAGTCAAATTTCACTCAGCTCTATTATTGTTTGTTTTCAATAGTCTTTCTGTGTAACTGGTTGGGTTTTTTCCATTTTAGTTTTTGATTTAAAGACATAGTCTCACTTTGGAGTTCTGGGCAGCCTTGCACTCACTATGTAGGTTAGGCTGTCTTTGAATACATGGCCATTCTCCTGTTTCAGCTTCTTTATTGCTGGGGAAAAGAGGTGGGCATTATAGCACATGGCATTTGTCTTTTTCTCTTCTTCTTTTCACTACTATTCTTTCACTTCAGGGGCACTGTCATTTAATCCTGAGGTTTGCTTGTGTCAGTAAGGTTTCTGCAGCTTGAGGTGATTTTGTGAACAATAATATAGGAAGCCAAGCAACCCAATTGAGAAATGTGGAATTTCATTAGCTGGGCTCAGCACCACTTGTATACAGAAACCCTAACCCCATTTCAGGATCTAAACAAGAGGCTCTGAACTGGAAAGTTAGAGATGTTTTATAGATAGAATCACAAAAAGATCCTGTTGGAAATCATTTAGCTAGAATCTCATAATAATTTTTGAATGACAACTCTATTCCGTTTCTTTCTTTGAGTAGGATAATTTTTTTTCTTTGGGTACAGCTCATTTTGCTTTTCTCCTGAGACTTATACCCTCAGTGATTTTCCATTTTTCTGAGTGAAATACAAGGGCACTAGTTAAATGCAAAGCTCAAGATGGCATCTATTAAGCCAACCTACAACACAGCTAAGTTACAAGTCTCAATATTTTTTTAGGGTAAAAACACACATATCTATAATCCCATACTCAAGATGCTGAGATAGGAATGCTGCTTTGAGGTTAGGGCAATTCTGTGCTCCATAAAGTGTTCAAATCTAGCTCATATACATAGAGAAAACTTGTCTCAATAAAACAAAACTAAACTAAACAAATAAAACCAAGCAAAACAGCTGAATGGAGACTGATTTCTTCAAATCTTAATTCCACATCTTGGGGATTAATTTTTGTATATACACATTTTTTGAGACAGCAAATTTAATGCTATATTGCAACTCACAGCTAATACAACAGCCAAATAGGAGCACTGATTCTTATGCTGAGTCACTGCAAGAGTCCCTGTGCACTGTCTCTAAAGAAGACCTCATAGTGAAAGCCTGCAGGACCAGCATCCATAAACACGGAGGCAGACAAATATCTCATGAATCACTTTGATGTACTAACAATGATATCTCTTCAAATCTCATTTAGACCACTGAGTCCTTTGTTCTTAATATACTTAAGTAGCATTTTGATATTTAAATTTGGATTCATAGAACAAAACATAAATAACATCAAATACGATACATAAATAATAACTCAAATGTTCATGGAAAACTGCTGTATGTAAAAAATGTATAAACAATGAAACAAGGTACAAGTTTCAAATTATAGCTCAGTGTCACCAAGTGATCACCAAGTGATCACTCTCCATTCAGATATAAGAAATATATCTTGGGAGGCTGATGTAGGAGACATTCCTAGAGTTTGGGGCTAGCCTAAGTTACAGAGCTGTCTGAAATATAGAAACCCTGACTGAGACACCTCAAAGACAATGTGAAACTTGAAAAGTGACTGCATACGACACCTTTGGTTTGCTTTAAAAATTATATCCATACAATATAGAAAAATTCCATAATATTCAACATTTTCTGAGGAACAATGTTGATATCATACATAGTATACAGAAAGCAATTTCAGAGCTGGGTATTTAACTCAGCAGCATGAACACCTACCTAGCAAGCTTGAGATCATGAGTTCGATCCCTGTTAAAAAAAAAATTTCAAATTTCACCTTCATGACACTGGGTCATAATTAAAGATAATCAAAACTAGATCTCAAGTGAAGAACACAGAATTCATGGGTTGACAAGGATGTGGAATACTGATTCTTACCAGAGCTGGTGTTATTCACCTCAAGGAAGATATCATAATTCAACTTTAACTTCATGCTTACCCTAAGAACTACCTGACTTTCAGGGAAGACCCTCTCTGTTGTACGTCATGCTATTGGCACACTGAGTTCTGCCAGTCATTTCCACATCCTTTCCAAGCTTGTCTGATCCACCCTAAGCAGAAAACCATTCATGCCTTAACTACTGATATCCCTGCACAATTACAATTTAGGGCATCTCTTTACATGAATTAGTAAAGTCCATTACAGAACATTTCCATATTTAAACAATGTATATGATCAACCAAGCTATTAAATCACCTCTTAATTCAGATATGACACCCATATTCCTTTCCATTCAGAAGTATATCACGTGTATATATATATATATATATATATATTCATGCAAATGACTAAATTTAGGCATTTTTCAAGGAGAATTTAACAGGCAGCCCTTTCTGGAATTTGTCCTTAGTAAACACACTTTTCCCTGCCCTTGATGACAAATTTATATCTGCTTCATTTTTCTCAAAATTTAAACCTCTATGGATGTTCTCCCAAACATCGTCTATGAGCACATGTGTCACATCAAGTACGTTCAGAAATTCTTTGCATTGTTCTGTGTAATACACAGCAGTTCATCCGGTGTTTGGGAAGCCTTCCTCCACTGAGGCACATCACTACACATCTTTGAATTCTCAGAACCTTTGCCTCCACCTTTAATGAGCATGGAAATATGAGAACATAGTACAAATTTAGACGATCACAAAATACATAAATGCATAAGTTTAAGGAGAGCAGTTGTGGCTCTGAGGTCCTGCAGCACAGACATTTATAAACTTCTGGCTTTCAGATCTGTTGCTGAAAGGAATGAAAGCAGACACCTAGCTTATTACAGCTGCACCCAGCTTGAAACCACTTCGGAATCAGGGTCTCCTCATGCCCTGTCCTGGGCCAGACTGTTGGAGGAGCAAGGGCAGCAGGCGATTTCAAAAATCGCATTGTGGCCTGGTGGTACCACAGTGGTGACAACATTCTAGGGACCCAGAAATATCCTGACCCCAGCGAGAGGTAAAAGCCACACAGAATGACTCCCTGTTGGCACTAGAGTACCTCAGGGTCTGAGGCTAAGTACGCAGGCTCTAGACAGCACAGCTGCTTCTCACCACTGTTTTTTTTTTTTTTTTTTGGTCTTTTTCCTTTTTATCAGTAACGGGGATCAAACTCATGACTGCCTGCTTTCAAAGAAAGTGCTTATGCTGCTGAGCTAAACCCCCAATCCCTTCTCACCACTTCTAACTGGTCTCAACCGGATTCCACCCCATTTCAATGCTCCCATCCCATATCATCACCATTGCGTAATTTGGAGGTCTCCGAGCTTCTTTCTAAGCAGTCAACGGAGAACAGAAGCAAAAAACAGTTGTCTAGCAAACATCTAGTACTCCCTTTTTTGCCATGATATTGCAACTGACGCCATGACACCGGAAGAGACAGCCTTCGTTGGCCCTCCTGATAGGACAGTTCTTACAGCCCGCCTCTTCATCACTGATTGGCTCCTGCTAAAAATCAATAAACCTATGAAATTGAAGCTTCCCTACAGGAATGCCCCTACTCTTTAACAAAGAGGAAGTAACTTGTTCAAAAAGTTCCCGTTCTGATGACGGGGAGTTACCCATTCTCAATCCCTGCGTATATGCCACTCCCTGCTACTTTCACTTTTCACTTATCCAGGTCCTCTGTAGCAGCGGTCTTCTGGGAACTGCCGATTCTCCTTCCACTGGAAAAACGCTCCGAATGCTTATATTCCAAGTCCCAACTTCGGGCGCCAGATGCCAGGTGCCAGGTGTCTTAGCCAGCGCGGGGAAGGAGTCAGGTGAGAGACTGAAGACAAAGGGAGACCAGTTGCTCAGGAGGCAAAAGGCGATTTATTGAAGGACTACATAGTTTTTATAATGTTTCAAAACAAAGAGCAGTACAAGTCACTTCAGGACACTTTCTTGTGCACACAGCAAAGGTAAACATGCTCCTGGGCCCGTGAGAAACTTCTATGTTGTGCAGCCCAGGAGGTAAACATGTTCTTGGGCCCATGAGAAACTTCTATTGTTTATGTTATGAAGCTATTCCCAGGTTAATATCAGCGCGATGCTTTGTCTAGAAGGCTGAGGTCACTGCAGGATGAGGAACTGCTTGAGGTCCAGCTTCAGTGTGTGGTTTCCCACACCCATTCACTGTGGGACCCCTGGCTCCTGCTCCCAACATATTCCCCTTATTTCTTAGACAAAGCGTCGCATGGGAATTTCATTAGCAGTTGATTCTAACTTAAAACGTTTCAAGTCCAAACGCACATTTCTCATTTGCCCAACAACAGTTCTCACAAAATATGGAAAAATTGTTATCATGACAATAAATGCTAGAGCTCCAATACCAGCTAGAATGATAAAATGCGAAATGCCCGTGAGGCTTGGGAAATGGCTGGTTAATGCGTTGAATATTTGCTCAGTTTCTTTTTCTATGTCAACTTTTATTGCTGGTGCATTGGTTATATCTTGGATAGTCTTATGCAGCTTAAGCAAATCTAGAGAAGTATTGGAATTATGCCATATTCCTAGCAAATGATTTTTCAACCTATCCCAAGGTACATCACTTTCATTATATCTATGTGAAGTAACACAAATATGTTCGTATAAGGCATGACATTTCAAAGATGATTGTACTTGCAAAGCATATAATTGATCTCCTAAGGTTATTACTGTATCTTGTAGAGCATTTAGTTTTTGTTCAATCATACTATCCCAACTTTCCTGTATTTTCAAAACCAAAGAAACATTATGGGATGACTCATTAACGTAGGATGCAGTTTGCACACTTTCTGTAAGAGATATTGCGGACATTGCAGTGGAGGCTATCAAAGTAATAAGTGCAGCAATTCCAGTCATTAACATCCCAACAAATCGTTTGGCCCGATTTAAAAGCTTAGTTAATTTTTGCAAAATAATCACAGAAGGATCTTGATACCACTCTGTGGTGATATTAACAGGTAAAAATACAAATGGAGGTTGTTTGACCACTAATATGGATGAGTGGTTTCGTGAAGCATTTACACAACTGGATAAGATGCGATCTTTACAAGTAATTTCATAAGATTCATTGTTCTTATTTACAGTAAGTTCTCCACTTATAACACCATATGGTTCAGAAATACAAGCTATGATAGTTACATTTTGTACTGTGCCATTAACAGAAATAGCATCCTGTGTCCCTATATGTTGCCATACAACTTTTTCCTTTGCAACAGCAATGTAATCAAGTGCTGCAACCAACTTCCACAGCATGGTAAAAAAGGTGATATTATTCCTTGTCCATATTCCATATAATAAATTTCGGGGCCTGTAGGTTGTTTCTCTGTAATCACTCCAATCACATAGATCTTTGTAACATATCGTATAATTATGATGGCACAAAAGCCATGAGGGTCTATATACACTTTTGCTTGGATATTTTTGTCTGCATTCTGGAATATGCTCAGGGGGATTACTTTTTCCCACTCTAGTTTCACTACTGTTGCGAAATACATACATCATATCTACTCCCCAGTGCATTCCATTAGTAAAGTTTCCATCCCAATCAGAATATCTTTCTATTAATGTACAATTCTTATTTGTTTTAGAAAAACATAGGAGTAATGAAGCAGACATTTCAGTGTAATTATATACAATAGAGATAGGTTGTATGTGAGTGGAAGAAGGAAACCTTAAGACACGAGTATTATTTACATAAACAGTAACATCATCGTTGTCGCCCCATGACATAGGGTGTAACAAAGGAGGATTAGGTACAAATGCCCAATAATTATCTGCCCACACAGGCATATAAAATATATGCAAAACCCAAATAATGCTTAACAGTTGAGCCAAAAACAGAAGAGTTTCATCTCTTGTCGCAGGAGGCCTTCTGGTCATTGTTCTCGTCCTCGAGGTCATGGTTAGTCGAAGCATCGTCCTGCACAATTTTTCTATCTTGCTCTTGGGCATGTCGTACACAGCGTTCTGGGATCCACCTGGGTGTATCAGCGTCTGTGGGAAAAACACAATCATACCCTCTTCCCCATATCAATACTGGGTCAGGGCCATGTAATAGATTAGTTAATGGGTCTTTCCAATAAACCATTGGCTTGGAGGGCAAATGAGGAGACCAATGTCTCTCAGCTGCAGATCTATTGGAAGCATCAAAAGTTAAAAAATTAAGAACGTAAAGAGCATGGTTAAGAAGGGTTTTGGGAGAATACTTATACCATCTCCCCCTTTTTAATTTATTTAATGTGTTTTTTAGTGAGAGATTAGCACGTTCAACAATTCTTTGTCCTTGAGGATTATAAGGCAGTCCAGTAACATGTTTAATATGGAAAGTCTGACAGAATTTGGCAAAGGGTTTACTAACATATGCTGCGCCATTATCAGTTTTAAAGGATCGAGGAATGCCCAGGATAGAGAAACAATATAGTAGGTGTTGTATTACATGGGTGGCAGTTTCTGCAGTCATAGGTGAAACAAGCATGTAATGAGAAAAGGTGTCTATGGTAACGTGTAGGTATTTTAATGACCCAAAAAAAGGAAAATGAGTGACATCCATCTGCCAGATGTCATTTGGACGGAGTCCTCGAGGGTTGACTCCAAAATGCGGTACTGGAAGGAGAGGCTCACATGAGGGACAGTTTTTAACAATTTCTCCTGCCTGCTGCCGTGTTATACCATATTGATAACATAAAACCTGTGCAGCTTGGTGATGAAGAGCATGTAACTGTTGTGCTTGCGAAACAGCAGACAGTCCAATATGCGTGGCTCGATCTGCAATTGCATTTCCATGAGTCAAAGCGCCTGGAAGATTAGAGTGACTGCGAATATGTCCTACAAAACAAGGTGCAGATTGAGAATGTAAAGATGATTGAATAAGACCAAATAACTGTGCAACAAGGATATTAGCAGTGTTGATAACAGGAACGCATTCTAAAACAGACAAGGCTTGTACTACATATTGGCTGTCTGGAAACAAATTAAAGGGAACATCAAAGAAAAGAATAAAAGCCTGATGAACAGCATAAAGTTCAGTCTCCTGAGCTGAAGTACCCCTCAATTGCCATACAGAAGTTTGATTTGCGGATACTAAAGTAGCTTTTCCACTGGAGCTTCCATCTGAAAATAAAGTAATAGCATTAACAAGGGGTTTCATGCATATGATTTGAGGAAATGAAAAGGTAACTTTGGAGGCAAATTGAAGAATTTTATCCTTGGGATAATGATGTTGGATTTGACCGGTATAGGATGCTAGAGAAAGAGGAAAATAATCAGTCATAGTAAGCAACCATTCGAGCTGTTCAGATGTATAAGGGATTATAATAGAGTGAGGGTCTCTTCCTAAATGCATTATAGACAATTTTCTTCCTTGCATAATCCTTTCTGCAACCAAAGAGGCATAAGGGGGCAGAGCCTTTTTTGGGGAATGTGGACCATGAATCCATGAGAGAACTCCCTGCTGATATAACACACCTGTAGGGGAAAAAGACGTGGGTATGATGATAAGAGACCAGGGAGTGGAATAATCACAATAATGAAGCTGCGCACTTTGAAGAGCCTTATTAACCAGTTGAAGAGCTTTGCGAGCTTCTGCCATCATTTGCCGGGGTGAACTTGGGTCAGAATCTCCAGCTAATAAGGAAAACAATGGGTGGAGGTCTTGAGTAGTTAACTTTAGAGATGGCCGGATCCAATTAATTTCGCCTAAGAGTTTTTGAAAATCAAGTAATGTACGCAAGTGAGAAGTATTAACAGACAATCGTTGAGGAGAAAAAGGCCGTGGATATAAGTGAAAACCTAGATAAGAAAAAGGAGGTGAAGTTTGGACCTTCTCAGGTGCGATGACCAGCCCATTATTTGTTAAATCCTGATGAAGAGAGGTATATACTTGCAAAAGCATCTCAGAATCTTGATGGGCTATTAAAATATCATCCATATAATGAATAATGGTGGCATGGGCAAATTTAGATCTGGTATTGGCAATGGCTACATGCACAAACTTTTGACACAAGGTGGGGCTGACTCCTGAACCCACGACCCTGAGATTAAGAGTCTCATGCTCTACCAACTGAGCTAGTCGGGCTGATTGTAACAGGGTGGCTCAGAGAGTGGTGGCAGAGCAGAGGGGGGCGGGGGGGGGGCGGGGGGCGGGGTATAAGGAGGATGCCACATTCTCTGAGGATTTGGTTTTTCTTATAAAACTTTCTCGAGTTCTTTTTTCCCATTTACTAGACTCAGAGTCCCCTTTTAAACAGTCCTTAATTAGAGTCCAAATTGGAAACACATCCACAGGAACCTTCTCAGGACCCCAAGCACAGTAATAATCTTTAATCTTTTCTCCTACTATTTTCCAAGTCTCAACATTAACCGTTCCCTGTGCGGGAAACCAGGGGCAAACCTGATGCACAAAATCAACAAACCGATGAATTTGAAGCTTAGCTAC